ACCATAAAATGAAAACTTTCGTCTTCAATGATGGGGTTTTTTTTTTGCGAATTTTCATTTATTTTACTAAAATGATGTAGTTTTTGTCTTTCGATATTAAGCAAATCACTAATTGCATCATTTTTATTAGTTTTTTTTTTTTTCGCTGGTAATTGCTCATAATATGAAGAATCCATACCCATTGTTGTTTCATGTGATTTTTCCGATGTATTTAAGTCTTCGTTTACGACGTCAATACAATCGCTTTCTGGTGAATTAATATCCCTAGTGTTTTCCAATTCATTCACCGACATTGGTGTTGGGATATTACCTATCATTTGTCTTGGTGTTTCAATATCCTTTAAGAAAGACAATGTTTCATAAAATCTCCACTTCGATGAGCTTCCTCCAGACCCAGATCCTGTTGGTTTTTTGTTCTTGTTTAATTCTTTTTTATAGGTATCTCTTAAATTTTGCCATTTGGTTTTTAATAGATCGCCTATATTATCAAATAATTAAATCAAATAAAAAAAATTGTAAAAATGATGTTAATATTTATTTAAGAAAAATGTTGTTTCTATAATTTTTTAAAATGTAATTAATTCTGTTACCAAAAAATCTAAAAAATATACATAGCCATAGTTTTAGATTCTAAGCAGAGCGATGAATGTGGCAAAGTGAATCTAGATGGTACATTCAGGAGGTCAGTAAAAATGTCCCAATAGTTTTCAATAGCGCCGGGAAAAACAAACAAAAAATCAAGGAAAAACGGGAATTTTAAAATTATTTTGTAGTTAAAAATTGATAAAATGTTCAACTTTTATAGCTAAGGATTTAAAATTAAAAAGAAGGTACCATGTAAGTAGGTTATTCTGTAATTAAAAATATAAACACACAGTTTTTTTTTTATAGTTATTTTTTGTTCATATTAGGACGAAATTACATATAAAATAACCAAGAAAAACGATTTTAGTTATTTTGTTGTAATTTTAATTTAACCTCCTGCGAACCGTATTTATAATAACCAATAAGTAATTACAATATATAAATATAATATAAAATATCCACATGACAAACCGTCTCAGCTCAGAATTGTTTTTCGTATACAATGATATTATATCATTGAATTCAAAATTAACATCCACTTGCACACCTACTGTACAGCAGAGCGACATCAACTTAACCCATCTTTTTTGATTTTTGAGTTACAGTATAAACTAACCTTTTTTTAAAGTTTTTAATCCTTAGGTATACAAATGTAAAATTTTATACATTTTTGCTACCAATAAAATAATTTGTAAATTTTCAATTTGATAAATGTTGTCAAAATTAGAACTTAAAATGCTTGCAAAAAAAATCTTGCCTATGTATTTTTAATATTTTTAAATGGATATTGAAACAATGTTCGAGGATTATTGTATTATAAAGTAAATTTTTTTGATGCAATGAATACAATTTTATTGACATTTGTAGAAAAAAAAACCAAAAAAAATTAAAATTGAAACAGCTCAAAAAGACTCAAAATATTTTTAGTATGTATTTCATTAAGATAAAATAAACATTTGGTGTAATTTGTATGTAACTGTGGTTATTCGTTATTAAATAACAAATGAAATAAGAAAATCGTTCCGTGAGAAATCTATTGAAAATCGAATGTTGTAAAAATTTTAAGTTTTTCTAAAAAACGCTTATAAAAATTTAACTTGACTCTCCAGGAAACATATTTTTATTGTTTAAGGTAGATAAACTTGTTAGGAACTTTGTACTTATTAAATTTTCATATCTATGATATTTTTATATTTCCAACTCATTACTCAACTAATTTTGCAACCTTCCAATGTACTAATACTAGATTCTCTTTCCCAGCAGAAAAGATACTAAAATTGAAAATCGAATCATTATTTCGATAACTTATTGTGTACACACTGAAAAAAACATCATTGTAAAATCATTACATATGCATACATCGCTCTGCTCAAAATCTAAAATAGGCTATTTTGAGCTTTAAAAAAAATGTACATAAGATATTTAATTTTTTTGTTTTCTGTAATAAAAAATAATAAACGTTGTACTTGATGTCACACTCTTATTGTAATCTATAGGTTACACCAACTACAAGTGTAACAGGAAAACATGAAAAAAAAAATGATGCTACTTCACTTCAATGTAGGACAAAAATTGAGGAAATTATATTATTAGGTAAAAAATAATTTAAGAAATATACTCATATCAGCAAATTCCTAAAAAAAATATTTTGAAAAAAGTTATTACGTTCTAAATTAATTTACTAAAAAAATATTGATATTGTAAAAAATTCTAAAAAATAAACTACTTGACTTAGATAATTAATGTTTCTACCATAAAATTGTAAATCATTTAATCTGTCAAGTCTTAATATTACACCCTGTATATGATTATGATTTTTGTATGATTAGGTGTTTTTCTTAAGTGTGTAATTAGGTTTAGATTACTAACTTACACATTTTAAATTATGTTTTAGGTTTCTATCTACGGGAACTCCTTATAGATCATTAGCATTTTCATTTCGTATGGCACATAACACGATCAGTGGAATAATTTATGAAACATGTAACACAATTTGGAATGTTTTTGGACAAATTCATATGCCTTTTCCGACGAAAGATATGTTTTACCAGATTGCTCACGATTTTGAAACTCTGTGGAATTTTCCTAATTGTATCTGGTGCATTGACGGTAAACACATCCGCATAAAATGTCCAAAAAAAACTGGTTCAATGTTTTATAACTATAAAAATTATTTTTCGGTACACTTGCAAGGCGTGTGTGATGCAAAATATAAATTTATTACAGTGGACATAGGAGCGTATGGAAAACAGAGTGATAGCGGTGTATTTACTGAGTCTAATATATATAATTACCTAGAAACAAATTCTTTTAATGTACCACCCAACAGACCACTTCCAAACACAAATATTCCAATGCCTTTTGTTTTATTGGGAGACCAAGGATATCCACTAAAAGAATATTTGATGCGACCATATCCATGCACCACAAATTTGGATCCAGAAAAAGAAATTTTCAACTATCGTCTTAGTCGAGCCAGACGAATGATAGAATGTACATTTGGTATATTAGTATCAAAGTGGAGGTGTCTAAAAACGGAATTACAAGTTAATGAAGATCACGTAGACACAATAGTTAAATGTATCTGTTTATTACATAATATAATTATCGATCAGGAAGGGATTGATGATACGCTTCTTGTAAATATTCATCAAACCAATACAGAAATTGAAATATCAAGACGAAACAATCGTTCTAAAACTGCAGCCTATGCAATACGTGATAATTTCAAAGAGTATTTTAATAATGTTGGAGCTGTACATTTTTAAAATACCTAATTAAGTTAGTAATATGAAATAATTTTAACTTAAAAATTAATAAATTGTATTGACTATAAGTATTTATTACCTATATATCTAACCTTTGATTTTAACTAAGTTGTCAGGTAGATACCTCGATAGATACCTATACCAACCTAATTTAAGATTATTAATAATTTTTAAGATTTAAAATTAGGTTAATAGTATATTGTAGGTACCTATTAGCTTTAACCTTACTTACATTATACTATTGTATGAATTATGAATAGAAAAATTAATTTTTATAATAGTTTACTTTAATTTGAATACTCACTTTTAGTTTCCATTTCTGTACCTAGCTATTTCATCCCAAAGTTTCCTAATTATGTCTCTATTGTGGTAATGTTTAGATTTTTTATTCCACAAGGCATTGCGGTCATGAACTAAACTAATTAATTTTTCTGAATCAATCATTCTTAGTTTATTATTATTAGTTTAAAAGGATACTCAAATCTGATAAAATTTAAAATATTCAATACAATTGAAAACACAGGTCCAACCACTCCTACGAGGTTCACGTAATTGCACAAAATGAACAAGGTACTGTAAATAACTTGCAAGAAGAAATATACAAAAATAATTTTATAGCCCAAAACAATTTTATATAAATAAATTATAAGTGGTAAAATATGGCCATTTTCGTCAATATGACGAAAATAGTTCATGGCTTCATGCTGAAACGGACTCCGCGTCGGGCGGATTCGGCCGGAAAAAACAAAATATTTTGATTTTATCCGACGTCGGACGTATTCGTCCGAATAATTCGGACGTAATCTGACCACAACAATTACATTGCGGGGTATTATTGTTTTCGGCCGAAGACGGCCGTCTTCGGCCGAACTCAATTCCGTCCGAATTCGGATATAGTCTGACCGTAACCTTAGAAACAGAATTAAATTTATGTGATATTCATAAAATTAAATGTTGCCATAATGCCATGGTGCAGTTTCTAGCTACGATTTTCCTGATGTTAGACAGTCGTTTGGAACTCAATACGTTGAGTGCAATGGACAATGGTGACATTTAAAATGTCTAATAGCTCTACAAGACGATGATAGGTTAAACATAAAATGATTATTGCTAATCACTCGTCAGTTTTTAATTTTTCACATTTTATATTTTTATTATAGTGTCTGTAATTTATGCATATGGTGTAAAAGATAATTATTTTCAATTCGTAAAAAAATGGCAAAATTAAATAAAAATAAACAAATTAGGACACATTATTCACCGAATAAAAAAGGAGCCCACCAAAATATGTTAAAAACTGCAAATATTATTAGGAAAAAGCATAGTTGTACTATCAATATAGCTATCTAAAGCCGTGGTCACTATCAATCATACGCATGAGAAATAAATGAGTACCATTTTTACGGCAGTTTAGTTACAGAATTGTCCACCAGGAAGAGCTAAGAAGGCCGATTTGAAAATATTTTATAAGCAATATTGTCTATTTAAGTATATTTGTTTTGAATAATATACATATCATTAACATATTGATGAACATTGTTTATTTATATTTTATTATTCTATAGTACCACAGTACCACACTACCTATAGTAGAAATATAACCATCCACACCTACCTAAAACTAGTAAAACTTATTATTATTTTTAAACATTTTTCATATTGTGCTAATTAATATGCCCAACAAATGTTTTGTTCCCGCATGCAAGTCTGGTCACTTAAGTAACACTAAAATAATAAAATCAGCAGGGAAGAATGTACCAGCCATGTTCCATCCACCACAAGTAACACTTACCCGATAGTTATTGTTTTGTTTTAAATTATAATATTTTGTATACTTAATTATGTACTGTAACATGCTTCTAACGAAACTTAACACGTTGACCACCGAGAGGAAGCCTAAGTCCACAAATTTTTTTATTATTTTACTGATCTTTATGTAACATTTTTTTTAAGACAAAAGAAAACTACACAATACATATAAGTAGGTATATAACTTAATATTAAAATAATTAAAATATACAATTAATTATACAAAAAACCAATAATAAAGAACAGTCTGATTTTTAATAAAAATTTAATGTTTGCATTATGTCATTTAAATCAAAATGTTCTCTAGGGTTCTTACATTCTAAGTTATCTCTTAGAGACATTTTATTTTTAATAAGAGTAACAAATACAATGTTTGAATATGTAGTCTAAATTATTTAAACAATATTACTCTACTGTATATTTATAATTTACTGTGCGTTAACTAAAATTTTATGTATATCATTTAAGTTCTTCAAAAAGTTGTCAAACTCTGAAAGCTTGGTCTAAAAAAACAACCAGAAAAGTTTTGTTAACTTAACAATGTTAAGGCAACAATTGAAGACTGAGAAAGAAGCTTGTTTGAAAGCTGAAAAAATCATTTTGGGCTTGAGCCATCAGTTGACTGAATTCAATACTGTTGATAATTTTCTCTCCCTGTGTGAGCAACATTTGTCACCTAGTGTACTAACCATTGTCAAATCGCATATGATGTGCACAACAAGAAACCCTCATGGATACAGGTACACAAATGATATGAAACAATTATCATTAACTATTTACTTCTTAGGCCCATCTGTGTATAGATTTTTAAAAAGTACACTAAGTCTACCTTCAGTTCGGACTTTAAGAAGAGTTACTTCAAAATATGACTTGATTCCTGGATTAAATGATTTTTTATTTGAATTTGTCAAATTCAAAATTTCTAATTTTAAAACTGAAGCCCTTGACTGCATCTTATGTGCTGATAAAATGTCATTAAAAACACATTTGTACTATTCACTTCCTAAAGATGAAATTATAGGATTTCATCAGACAAATCTCACTAAAACTTATGAGGCAGCCAAGTATGCGTTAGTTTTAATGATTAGGGGAATTAATGTATCGTGGAAGCAGCCAATAGCTTACATTTTTATGTCGGGAAGCTGCCGTAACCTAGATTTAAGTGATATTATAATGTCTACCATAAAAAAATTATTGAATATTTCTTTAAATGTCAAAGCGTTTGTCACTGACCAAGGCTCAAATTTTGTTAGCTTCAGTAAAAGTGTTTATGTAAGCCTGCATCGCCCTTATTTTACAGTTAATGGCAAAGAAATTGTGTATTTGTTCGATCCACCACATTTGTTGAAGTCAACACGTAACATGTTTTTCAAACATCATTTTGGTATTGATGATGAACTTACTGACAACAAGTATATCATACAATTTTATAATGAGGACAGCAAACTTAATTTAAGATTTGCACCTAAGCTTACTCATGCTCACATAAATCCAGGACCATTCGAAAAAATGCGAGTCTATTTGGCAGCCCAAGTTTTTAGTGAATCTGTAGCTGCTGGAATGAATACTCACTTAGAATTGGGTAAATTACCATTAGAGTTAAAATGTACGATTAATGTCATAGATAAAATGGATAAACTATTTGATATTTTTAATTCATGCAAAGTGCCAAATAGCAAATCATTCTGGAGACCTTTTAAAAATACATCAATGCAAATGGAACTTCTTTCTATGATGATTTCATTTTTTAAAAAATTAAAAGTTATTTCGAAGATAAGTGGTATAGATGTGACTAGCAGAATGAATTTTATAAATGGTTGGCTAATATCCATTAATGGGTTATTAAAGTTGTGGGTTTCTCTTCGTGAATCAATGACACATCCCAGTGATTATGTATTATTTACCAACCGTTTGAACCAGAATTGTTTAGAAAATTTATTTGGTATGTTTCATAATAAGAATGGAAACAATCGAAATCCCACTCCTGTTCAATTTCATATAGCTTTTCGGAATTTGTTTTGCTTAAACTATTTTCAATATTCACCTAATGCCAACGCCCAACTGTATAAAAGATCTTGATGACATTTTGTGCCATATGAATTCTTCAGAAGTTGGCATTACTAATGTTGTGTTGCCAGAACCTTCACCAAGAGGTACATATTTCAATTTTAAAATATTGGCACTGTTGACTATAGATACTTAAATTTACCTGAAAAAAATGCTTTACATTATGTTTGGGGTTATTTGTAAAGCAAGTGTTTAGGTCAACATACCTGTGATTTATGTGTAGATTATGGAAGGTACCAAACAAATTTAGATCAAGCATTTTTATTGTGCTATTTTAAAGCTTACACCAATACTGCACAGACAACTTATGGTAACCTTCAAATGCCTAAAGATGATTTTTATCAATTCATATTTGAACTAAAAAATATATTTGTTCAACGTTTTCCTTTATTAGCAGTTGGTAAAGGAATATCTTCTAATTTAAATGTATTTTTATGTAATGTACTTTTTAAGCACCCATGTCTAAATTTTGATTATGTATATTTAATTAAGCTATTTGTAAGGTTTAGAATTTTTTCCTCTGTTAAATTTTTAAATAGAGAATTAGTGTCAGAACGTCAATTTAAAAATAGAAAACTGACAATACCAAGACATTTATAATTATCATGTCATAATGTAAAATTCACTATATTCTAGACAAATATTGTTCAATTAATATTTATTATTTTTGTTTTTTTTATTTGTACAATTTAGTTTATAAGTACTTGTTTACTTGCCTAATTTTCAATAATAGAGCTATTCATTTCAAAACTAATAATATGAAAACATCCACTATTTTTATATCATTATTTATTTATATTTTATTAAAATACAATATATAACACCAAATAAAATTGTTCATTATAAAGATTTTTTATATACCTATAAAAATTGGTTTATTTATTATTTATTTACAATTATTTTTGTAAATAAAATTATTTGTTATTAAATCATGTTTGTTTTTTTTTCATTTTTCTTATTGATTTATTGGTTGATATCATCTACAATTACCTATTGGTCCTATTGCATAATGAAGAAAATACATTTTTACAATAGGCTGCAACATTAAATATCAAATAACCTATAATTTTATAGTAAGTTTGTTAATTAAACTTATTTATATCAATTCTTACAAATATTTATGTTTTTTAAAACATAAAACAAAAATTATTTATTACTAGAAAGTACCTATATAAATCTAATTTATTTCCATTTCAAATTGAATATAGAATAGAAATATATGTTATATGTATGTATTTCGCGTACAGTTTTTTGGTAAAACTGATCTTAATTAACTCATATCGATGAAATATACTCTAAAATATAATATAACATAACCAAATTTCAAATCAACTGCAACCGCCAACGTTGAATATGTTTCAATACAAAGTTATTGCGTGCATTTTCCCAGTTTACATGAATGTGGAAGTAACTTGTTGAACTGTTTTCAGACATACTCATATGCCTTAGCAGAGAAGAAATGGAAAGATAAAGGAAATTGTCAAACTTCCGGAGAATACTTTTTTAAGTTTTTTTTGAACCAATTCTTTATTAAGTTAGTATGCTTACCAAAAAGAATCCAACAACATATCATTTGCATCATCACTTACAAGATTCTCCTTTCTTGATTGCAATACTATTTCATTTAATGAAACTATTTTCTTATTTTTTCGACGAATAGTTTCTTGAATGAGTTATTATCGTTTATTTTTTCACTATACTTCATCGTTTGATTGTCGAATGCCATGTTTTATAAATTGACGTCTTGGTGTACCTATTAGCGTTTGTAAGTACTAGCAGCCAAAAATGAAGCCTTTACATTTTGCTAAAAACATAATAGTAAGATAAAAAAATTTCTTGTGCACAAGTTACAAAAACTTACTGTCTACCTTATATTATTGGAAACATTTAATTTGTCTTACCATAAATATTATTGGAAAATAAAAATACAAAATAAACTTCTTATATAAAGTATAGCTTCTTTATTTAAGTAATGAACAAATCACAAAATAACATAAATTGCATTAAAAATCGTCTTTGATCTCAAATTACTCAAAAAGGTAGCTTGCTCCCATTGAATATTTGAATCCATAGTTAACACATGAAACCTAAAACATAAAAATATACACAAACAAGTTAAATAATTAAGGATAATTTTTAAATTACTTGTCGAATGGCAATTTGAACTGTTCAAAGTAAAAGAATTGCTCCGATTCTACAGTAGTTTCTAGATCTTATACAAATATTGTATTCCTAATATTGGCATATATTAAAATATTCATTACATAGATAAGAATAATTTATTTTTACATTGTGAACTTTATGCTTATATGATATATCAGCTTCAGAATGACTATCATATAATAGCTATGTTCCTTCCTCAAATAAATAACTAGTTGAATATATGCATATAATTTTGTTTTGTATTTATCATTATTATTAGAGTAGCCATAAATAATAAAAGCATAAATTAATGGATTAATTTACCTTTACTAATTTCTTTTGGACTTTATAACTTGTACCACTTCCTTGCTGGACAGCTGAATTTGATATTCCTGGAATAGGTACTGTCATCTTTGAATAATCATTCTGAGCCTAGTAAATTTCAAATAATTAATCAATCTGTTTTTATGTAATGAAAACTAAGGTAAACATACAGATTTCACTCTAGAAACTATCAAGGGTGGTATAGCATTTTTCTTCAACAACTTAATAATTTTGTTGTTATCTAGAAATGAAGATGGGTGAAAATGAGCTGAATAATGAACGCTATGTTTGGTAATATTGTTCAGACTTAAAGAATTTTTTAAAACAAACTGATTCCCAATTTTCTTTATTAGTGGCACATTGACAGGACATCTAATTAAAAAATTAAAAATGTAATATTTTATTAAACAAAATTTAAATGATGTAATTTATTCACAAATAATATGTACACTGAGTTACTTCTTACCTATGAAATGTTATGTTTTCTACTTTACTTTTATTATTTCTAGATTCACCGCATACATGGCAACAGGGTATGGTGCAGAATACAGTTGTAGTATAGATGTAGAAGTTTTTGGTTCTCTTGGTCCATGAACCCTTGGTATGCATCAGCGGGGAGACCACTTCCATGCCTTCCTTTTCGTTCACCTGAATGTTAATGACTTCCACATTCTCCCGTCCCACCATCTGTACATTCTCGGGAAAACTTTATGTACCTATTGTATTTGGTTTGAAGTTTAGCATCTTTAGTTTATAGGTAGTATAAATAAGTTTGGTATGAAAATGACAGTGCAGAAGGTACTTGAGACCTGTGTTTACAAATAAGTGAATCTCATGCGGAAGGTACAGCCTGAGGATTTATGTTGGTAATTACTCATTACAGACGGCGCTGCTCTAGCAGATAGTCAACGATGATATACGGTTGCTCCTTAATCACGTCCAAAAACAGAATGCCATGAACAGAGTTTTGAGTGAGCCAGTATCTGTTGAGTATTGACACCATTGTTCTCGGCGAACATCACCCATTGACGATTCAATGGAATAGACTGGAAAACTAATTTAATCATCGTATTATGAATTGTTATGTTAAAATAATTATTGTGTTGTGAATACCAATGCACAGAAACACCAGCCACACCTTCGACGTTGCCACAAATCACACAATGCTTGAAAATAGTGATTGGCCTGAAATAATATAATATAATAACATTTTCAAACAATATAATATTACTAGCTGAATTACCCGGCTTCGCAAGTGTGTAGTTTTTGTTTTATCAAAATTAAATTCTTAAATCAACACAAATTGTTGTGTTATAAAGAATTATAAATACCACAAAAATAATAATAATAGTAGTTACAAATGATACAAATGATTCTAATGATTATATACACATATTGTTTTTAAAAAATGTTTCCATAATTATATATAACTTTTTTTATGAATATTTACAAATGATACGAAGTTGCTTAATTTTAATATGGCTTAAGTCAAAACCTCTTGGTATACCACATTTAGAGTTTTATTTTGTGGTGCATAAACGTACAAATGGTCAGGTCTTCCAACTCTAGAAAATGCCACATACAATCGTCCATGTGAGAAACAGTTATTTTCTAAATCTACTCCACAATAAGTTTAAGTCTGACCTTGAGTTTTATTTATTGTCATTGCAAAACAGACTTTTATTGGAAACTGAACTCTTCTAAACTTAACTGGAAAATTGTTGGGGTATAATAGTATTTTCGGTAAAAATATTTTTTCTCCCTTAGCACATCCGGTCAAAATTTCGGCTTCGATGACATTTTTTGTAAGAGAAGTGACACGAAGCCTAGTCCCGTTACATAATCTAGGAGAATTCAAATTTCTCAATATGATTAGAACCCCCAACTTCAGTGATATTTTATGAAGAGGCATACCAGATGGTGTTTGTGAATTTAAGAACTCTGTAGGAAAATGTACCGATTCTTCACTATCAATAACCGTATCGATAGAAAAGTAATCCATTTCTAGTGCTCGAAATCCACTAACTATTAGTGAGTTTATTGTGTCAGCTCAGTTATTGGTAGTTGTTAAAATAACGCGTTCGCATAACCATTCACTATTCAGATTTTTCAAATTTCCAATATCTTGGTACACACTTTGTATCAGTTGTTCCAACGAATTGTTGATACTGCTAGATTTTTTACCCATCCTTATCATTTACAGTTCAGCTACCAATATTTAAGAGTAATGTAGAAAATTCTCCTGCGTGTATATCTTCTGTTAATCTGGTTCGCATATTTACAGTAAGAGACAATTTTTTTACTTTCAACCAAATCGTAGATGATTTTATGCTAGCATTTATTTGATCAAATCGTGTTCCCCGTGGAACAACCGGTAATGTTTGTCTAAAATCTCACGCAAATACTAATGTGATGCCTCCCATAGTTTTATCTGATTATTATTATTTATTCCAATTTCAACCCTTTAAAATCAAAATTTTGAAAATCGGGCAATATTATAGGTAGATTGTAGAATTTTACTTCTCGGAACAATTTATATTTACATGCCGATTCAAACACAAAGTTAGACGAACAAAAAGTTATGGTTGCATGTCGCTATGGAAACCCACAGGTCGCCAAACTGTAAAACATATATATAGATATACAATTAGAACGTAAACAATCTATTTTGACCGATTTCAACCCTTTAAAATCAAAATTTTGAAAATCGGGCGATGTGGTGACACTCATGGAGGTATTTGGAACAACTTTGTGAAAAAAAATTGGAAAAAAGTTAAATAGCGTCGTCACAAAATTGGTACATAAAAAGGCCTGTACTATTATATATATAAGGATAAATTATGATCATAGTATCATAGTATAATGTATTAATATGGGAAAAAAATTGTAATTACTAATTACACCCTGTGATCATCTGAAGAAAATATTATATTACCTTATCATTATGTTATCAGTTAATAAAAATTCGTTGTGTGCACGATTAAAGATATACAGTATATAAGTATATAAGTATATCTTTAATCGTGACTAGTATATAAGTCATAAGAATTAAGAGTTCCCTGTCCCGTAAATAAGTGCACAGCTGGTTATTACACATTTTTTCACATACTGTGGTACTGCTTTTCTAAAAATAACACACAACGAATTTATATTAACTGATAACATAATGATAAATAATAAATATATTATATTATAATAAATATACCGGACTTTCTTTCGCGAAATTTCTATTGCCGGACTTTAGTGAGTACATTCCTACTCGATATCTGCTTCCCGGTTTTTTTGTAATTAATGTATTAAATTATTTTAGATGTACCAGCCAACCGATCCTTCTGCCACAAACCTGAACTCGTCTTCAATGGCGTTCTTGTACCAGGCGCAATGATGCCGGCACAGCAGCACTCTCCATATTATCCCGCAACATACTCGGTAACCACCACGTACCTGGTGCCGAGTATGTACCAGCCGCCCACCATGTGCCAGTACCAGCCGCACGTCATGGTCCAGTACCAGCCGCCTTTCATGAGGCAGAACCAACAGCCCTTCATTCCACAAACTGCCGCAACTTACCAGCAGCCCGCCACTTCAGATCCGACCGCCGTGACTTACATGCAACAGCTCGCCACTTCCGCACCAACGGCGACTCCAAAGCGGCAATCCAATAAAATGAAAATTAGTAAGTTAAATGATTTATTCAACTTCAGTTAATATATGTACCAAGATTAAAACATTTTAATTTTTAATCATAATTGATTACAGAATGTCTAATTCGCCATTAAATTGGTCACCGGGCGACGGAGTGCCGCAACGTCCGCAACCGACTACGCCAAGGCCCAAGAGCCTCGGAGACCGGAGTAAGATTTATTCTGTGGTACTGCATTTCTAAAAATAACACACAACCACGATACTAGTACAACAGAATATCCAGAACGTTCAGTTAATGAGAACTCGAAAATCCGTGAAAAATGTTTGGGATATCAGTGTAGCCAGGATTCGAAAATAATTACAAATTCTCTTTTGCTGCTGAAACTGAGTCTGCTCATTTTTGATGTTATCATTGTAAATATTTTATTTTTCAGTGATAATTTATTGATATACGACATATTTTGTTTCATGGTTGTTACTNGAGGGGGGTGTTTACAAATTCGGAGATTGGATTTACAATTATTTACAATTAATTTACAATTGTTTGCAATAATTTTGAAAACTTTTGCACAAAGTCGGGGGGCCAACTTCATGTACGTTGTTACTTTATTTGAATTTGAATTTTCTGTTGCAGATAGCACAATTTGTTTTTTATTCTGAATTCTGAAATTGTGTTTAACATTTTTAGCTTTTTAATTGTAAATAATTGTAATTGTTTTACTATAATGTATTCGGGTGGCCATTCATGTTGTTTGGCGAATTGCAGCAGTATTTTCTTTGGGAAAAAACAAATTGAAACGAGGTTTCATAGATTTCCAAAGGATCAAGAAAGGTAAGAAATACCAAAAATGTACCAACCCATTTCTTGTAACTTAATTGTATTTAGTCATTATATAGTGTATGTGTTAATGAGCAATTTCTATCAAATTCATTGATGTTTATTTTCTATCATGCATCACAAATAATTGTTTTAGTACCCACTACTAATAGTTTTAATTATTATAGATGTGCTGTCTGGATTGAAAAGTGTAAGCCAATTAATTTACCAACTATTGACCCTGATATTCTGAATAGGAACCACAGATTGTGTTCACTTCATTTTGAAAATATAATGTATGTAAATGTTGAAAAAACCAGATTATTGAGTACAGCAATACCAACATTATTTAAAAGTAAGTCAATTAAATAAGGGGTAAATAAATCTTTATTTGTATTGTAAAACAATATTTTGTTCTTTTAGATGATTGTGTCGTTACAGAAGAAACATCAGATCATGTTGATATTCCATCTGAATCTTTGGATGATGACATCCAAATTGAAAATGTTATAATTGACAATTCGCCTAGATGTTCAACTCCTGGTATGTTGATTATAAATAAATTTTATTGTTAGATATGATAACTTTTAGTTCATTTATTAACTTATTATTTTAATCCACTATAATTTTATTTTTAGTGTCATCTACTCTTAACACTACATCAGTTTCGGGTTGTACATCAGTAGATACGTGTTCCATAAGTATTCAAACTCCGAACTCATTAACTGCCAAAACTCCAAGGAAACGAGTACTTCAAGAACGACTTTCCAATGCTTTGTGTTCAATTAAGGAACTAGAACAACAACTAGAACAACTAGAGCAGACTACAACTGTTGAACATTGTATGAAAATGTGTGAACAATATTTATCGCCATCAGTCTACCTTCTAGTTAAGAATAATATTATAAACAAAGATAGGTAAAAAAGTGGACAAAAAAAAGAAAAAATAGAAAACTATCTATTTTGAAACATTTGTAAATAATTATTAGATATTGTAAGAGATTATTACAAGATATTGTATTTTTAGAATTATGTATTAAAAAAAAATGAAATTAACATTGTGAACCTACGACATACACATTTTGTAATTAATGATTTATCATGAAAAAAATAAATTACATTGATGTGACTATTAACAGTTAATGTGTTATACTACTTAAAAGTTAAAGTTCAACTTTTTTTTAGTTAAACTTAAAAGCTAAAGTTCAACCTTTTTTGTGCTAGTACTGCCATTTATCAGTGGCGTAAGACGATCTAGATATTATCTGATAATATTTACAAATAAATTTCATGAGAATTTTTTATTTTAATATTTTGTATTGAAATTATTAGTTTGGCACGATTATAGGATATTGCTTATGTACTAAGGTAGTACTCAGTCTAAAAACTTTAAAATAACAAACAACTTTTAAGTTTTTAATTTATAGGTATGTATAATATTAATTATTATAGAATATAGATATTAGATTATGATTTACAAAATTTAGACAGTTTCTTTTTTTTCGCATTTTCTTTAAGCTGTTCCTGGTTTGTTTGCCTAGTCCATTAACGCATTCTCATATTTATATAATATTTTATAATGTATGGTAAAATAAAATCTTTATGTTCCGCACATGGAAATGTGAACGTTTCACACTTGGTTATCAATGCTTCTACTGTGTCTTCAAAAACACTTGTTTTACTTAAATTGTTCATCAACTCATCTTCAACAACACTCAATAATTTATACAAATATTTACTTGGATGTTTCAGCCATCCCCTAGATTTAATATTTGTCAAATCAGCCTCGGAGGTGAAACATTCAATACTTGTGACACTAGATTTACATTTTGGACAAGAACTTCTTTTGATTATTTGGGGAGTTAAATAACTAGCTATACAATACTTTAAGCAGTCCACAATTGGAGCCAATGAATAATTGTGTTCAATTATATCAGTAAATTCCCATTCACCTTCATTAATAAGACCATTTAATTTGGTTTTTAGTTTGTCTATTGCTGTTATAGCTTCATTATTTTCATAACAATTCTTTATAACAGAAATTGTTATTAAATTTGTTTGTTGCATATTATCAACAGTAAAATTTCCATATTTAGGAGGTTTTAATATAGCATAAACTGAAAGCAGTTTATACACTTGTAAAAAAGTCGGTGTAGATGGATGGTCATTTGTACCTAAAGCCATTCTCACCGTACCAAAAAAAGGCTAAAAAAATGTTTAATTTATAATATTCAACAAAAATGTATGCCTATGTATATTTTGTTACATTACCTCTAGTGAATCTTGGTTAACTTTTCCTGTGAGAAGGTAGTTCAAATTATACTTATCTATTAAATAATCGGACAAGTTTATAGACGATGTAAGTGTAACTCTCAGTCCTTCTGTACTCTTGGTTAAAAAATCTTGAGATTCATTTTTCCCAGCTTCTAAATTTACATTGAATAAATAATTAAACACTTACACAAACACAGAATACAATTTGGATACATCTAAACTGTAAATTAAATTGTAGGTACAAACATAAATCTTGTCACATCTAGAAAGTATTAAGGTGCCTTTACATTTATTATGTCTTAGATAGAATTTAAAGGCACCTTTAGTAGTTCTTGTTACAGTAATTTTCAGTTCTATATATAGGTACTGACTAGAGAAAATTGATATAATACATATACAATTAACACAAATAATAGTTAGTCTTGTTAGTTGTTATGAGACATTCAACAGGTTGAATATACCCATATACCCCTTCAGTAAAACTGACAAAAGCAATCATTATATACAGTTGTGTAGCTGGAGTTCAATCAAGGGGAGGGCTAATTTATTACCTTTATAGGCTATAACTGTGATCAAAGCATCATCAATAAAAAAAATTGAGGGGTGTCATCCATCCCATCCCCAGCTAGATCAAATAGTTTAATAGCTTAACTTTTATAAATATTGTGCAAATTATTTCATGCATCATGCATACAAACCATGTTATAATGGAATTTTACAAACAGATTATGTGACATAAGTTAGTATTTTAATTGTATTATTATATTACATAATGTATGTAATTTCCTTGTGAATAATAATATTACATTTACATTTTACAATATAATACATTAATTAAAAATAAACAAAAAAATATAAACAATTTAAGTATAACAAACTTGATAATTTTTTAATCCAGGTTTAATACCTTGTACAGGAAATTTTGCGTTTAATGCATCAAATAAGTCATTAAAGATCAAACAAAAATCTATTGTTGTATCACAATTACTCAAACCTTCTGTATTGTGTTTTTTTTAAATTTTAAACCATCTGCGACAGATTTACTAAAAACCTGTAAAGGAAAAGAAAATATAACGTTTTATAAGTTATATTACCTAATGACCTATAGGCTATAAGTACCTGTGTTGCAAGACGTACACGCATCTTTAAACATGTATTTAATAATTTTACATGATTTTCAGTCAACTTTGGACATACTTTTAATTGGCTGTTACAATTCTTCTTATCTTGGGCGTGTAATATTTCAAAATATTCCCACTTCTCTGGATTTTCATTTAGATTTATCTGCTAGTAATGTATGGATATTGAATTGTATTATTATTGCCAAAAAAAAAACTGAATATTACCCAAAGTTGTCATTATATAGCCGGTTCCTGAGTCCTGACACATTTAATTAAATGGGGACTATCAGAAAATGCGAAAATTTTTCTACTACTGTCAGCGAAATGTTCAATATGAGTTTTTGAACTACCTAATTTTCCACTTATACCAAACTCAGACCATACTCGTCGGTTAGTTTGAGCTCCATCTGAAACGAACCCATGGACCCGAGCACCTGCTTTCTCAAGAAGCATCACAGCTTTAATAATTAATTTTGTCAGTGTTTGTCCATTAACTGGTCCTTTGGATGCAAACACTCCGATAGGTTGTGTATAATTATCAGCTATGGGTTGGAACATACAAACTAACCCATGTGTGGCTTTAGAATTTATGTCTATTGCTTTTGGTAAGTTCATTTCATCATCTTCTCCAAAATCTATTAAGCTTGTATAAGTGAGAGATGCAGAATTTACTGCAACACTTTCTCTAAGCCAGTTTTCGCCAAATATCAAAACACCATGCTTTTGAAGATCTGTTTTAGTATCTAAATGTTTTTTTAAAATATCAAAAAATTGTTTGTCAAATCCACATGTATTATTTATCATTGACAAATACTCTCTGATTCTTCTGACTGAAGGTAGTGGTAATAATTTATTATTTTGCATAAAAGAATAACCAGCTGGTGATCTAATATGTAAAAGCATACATAGCATTATCCAGTCTTCTGTATATCGATTACCTTTTGAACTTTTTCTTTTGGAGGTAGCTATTATTTCCTTTATTACCAATTGATAATTTTTTATGCTAAATTTTTTAATATAGTTGATTCATCTAAATTACTACATTTTGTTTGACAGATATTTATCTGACTTTTTAATTTTTTAAATTGTTTTCCAGCACGACGATTCAATTCTATTATATTTTTATTACACTGACGAAGTAACTTAAGCTTTTCAAGTTAACTTGGAGTACAAAGTAAACAAACACGGTATTCAACAGGTGTATTTTTCATACGCAATTTTTTTCTTTGGCATCTAATCAATGCTATCTTACAAAATTTACATTGTCTAATTATTTTATTATCATTTAATCTATTAATAGCTAATTCTTTATTAACTATTTTCAACATCCAATTTGTCGAAAATGTCCATTACTATCAATACATAGAGTATTTGTTTTATATTTCAATGCTTCTGTTGGTATATTAACTCCTTCGCACATTATAGCACTATCCAACTTACAAATCACGTCTTCTAGTTCTTGTATAATGTGTACCTAATTTTAATTTAATTTAAGATGACTTATCTGAATTGTATCATTCATATATGAACATTTTATTGTTGCATTTTCATCTATGCTTGCAGATTGCTCAAAGTATGGCTTTAAATCAATTTCTTTTAATAAAATTTTACTATATATAACACTTTTATTATTTCCAGGAATGATTCTGCACCATTTTGAAGGAAACTGCACAGAGTCCATATTTAAATATATATTTGTTCAAAAATATTTTTTATAGAATTGGTTATTTTACTATGGTCAAGTATTTTCTCTCTTATTAAATTTGTATGAACTGGAATACTACACATTTAAGTTCTATTATTTTCATATTATTTCTAAGAAAAAAGCAAAATTATGAGTGACAGAATATGTGAGTGAAAAACGAAAATATAATATAAAAATATAAAATTAATGTTAATATTTACCATTCCAGAAACATTATATGTGGAGATAGGTAAAATAGACAGAGCTAATTCATCAGAATTATCATTGGAATTCTCATGACTAATTATCAGTTTTGTACAACACTGTTTGATTTCGAAGGCAGTTGATTTGTATGTATATTGCCTTCATCGACAATTGCATCAACAGTATCAGGAATATTATTACTTAAACCTATATTCAACTATAGGATATGCATCTGCTTTTAAAAGTACCTTATTATAAAAATATATGTTAAAAAAAGAATAACGTAAATAATATAATGTAAACGTATTATATAAGACATAGTACATACATCACTATACAGTGGATATCTTAATATTATATTGATTCTATGCTTGCGTAGTAATGAACACGAAAATATAAATATATGCTGTATTAACAATGAACACGAACCATGGCACGTTTTAAAGTAATAAACAATATTGTGTGTACTGAAACGTTTGTGCACGATGAGCAATATAGAAAATGAATAGCCATTAGCCAGAGATGGACAAGATTTGGCGAATGTTGTACATACTGATAGTGCGGTTCTATTCGGTGATATTTATTTCATCAATGTATATACTTCCCTGGACAAATGTCGATGGCAGTACCGCACCACAGAATAGAACAATAAATATTTCCATATGGTGTAATTTCGAATGTGTACAATTATTTATTTTTAAATTACCTACAACCAAATAAGAAAATCGCTACATGAGAAATCGATGAGTGATTATCCAATGTAAAAATATCAACTTCTCTTTTGATAAAAGTAGACAATCTTATTTGGAATCTCGTATTAAATTTTCTAATCTTAGATATCAAATGAAAATATGTATGAATTTCCAACTCAAAATATTTGCAAATTTTAGTTATTACTAATTTTTACGAGTTTTGTCAAAAGTCTGAATTTAAACTCTCATAACAAAAAAATTGTGGATTCACTCACAACTTTTTTTAATTTCCACTAACAAAAACTTACGAGGAACTTTGCATTACATTTTCAAGTTTTTTTACAAAGGGAAATTATCGACAAAGTTTAAAATTAACTAATAATAGTCAACAATTTCATATGCCCATAAATAGTTTAACAAGAGTCAAAATATTTTGAAAATTGTATGTGATGTATAGAAAATTCTAATATAGAAATATTAAAAAAAATGTCATGTACCCAAGGTCATTTGTTTTAGAGTTAAGTACACCAAAAACAAAAATCGATTTTTTTCAAAACCCGTTTTTCCTTAATTTTTTATTTGTTTTCCTGTCGCTTTTGAAAATTATTGGAAAATTGTCACATTCGACTCACCAAAGTACCAACTAAATTCACTTTGCTACCAGAAAAATTGCTGTTGAAGACAATTGAAGCATTTTTACTGTCCCAAAACGTGATGGCGACCTAATAAAAAAAATAAAAAACACATCATTGAAAAGTCAATACATTCATCGCTCCGCTCGGAATTTAAAACGTACAACGATATTTTAAAATAGATAACTATAAGACATATTTATGGTACCTTAAAAAATCTCCTCCAACTTCCAAAAAAAAATAAACAAAATACTACTCACTCGATAAAATATCAATGGATAAATACAGTTTTTACAGTAAAATAACCCGTTGTATAGTTATAAGTTGTAAGTTTATATAAAATATTATGACAGTAAAAAAAAACCTCATGTTTAGTAGCTGCATGTAAACAAATTACTATTCAACCAGTATAAAGGTGTAAGAATTTTACAATCGTAATTTTAAATATACGTAATGTGTTTGGAAATACATTTTCCACGTATTATATTTTCAATTTTAAACAATATTTCGTTTTGTTGTCATGGATATTTAATGTATA